AGACACGAAACTCTTAGATTTTCAATATAAGTATTGCACAGGGCCATTCAAACTAAACCAGAACTACTTAAAATGAAATTGATAGATAATGGCCTATGTACATTATGTGGTTCAGTAAGTGAGGATATTTACCATGTATACCTTGATTGTCCAATCATCAAAATGTTCTGGACTGATTTTAACAATTTTGTAACTCAAGCCCTTGGTAAAACGTATGAAACCTCACATTATGATATTCTATTTTGTTGCAGGGGTAACCATTTACTCAAGCACATGATATTCTATTTTGTTGCAGGGGTAACCATTTACTCAAGCACATGATATTCTATTTTGTTGCAGGGGTAACCATTTACTCAACCACATGATATTCTATTTTGTTGCAGGGGTAACCATTTACTCAAGCACATGATATTCTATTTTGTTGCAGGGGTAACCATTTACTCAACCACATGATATTCTATTTTGTTGCAGGGGAACCATTTACTCAACCACTTGATATTATTGGCAAAGCGACACATTTTCGTAATGGATATAAAAGGACACAAACCTAGCTTCACAATCTACAGAACATTATTAAAGGACGTTTATGAGATTGAGAAATTTTTCGATAAGAAGAACGACAATATGAAACATTTTACAGAAAATGGAATGTCCTATATGCAGTCCTGTAATTTAGAATTTAGTCTTTCACATTCTCCGTCTTACTATGCATCATTTCAACCGTTTAATCCATATTCCCAATTTGAAATACATTATACAGGCTTCCTTTTATTGTGCAATTTGTAACATGTTACTCTACCCATATATCTTGTTCAACTGTAATCAAGTAAAGTGAATAAAAAATACGTCAAAACAAACAAACAAAACAAATCCCGAACTCACCCACTTCCTCATTCACTAAGCAACATAGGGACTTGAATCTTTGTTATCTTATGCAAACATATAAGGTCGCAACACTCATTTTTTTAAATATTTGTGTAATAGATGTTTCAGGTTGACTTCAAGGTTTGTTTCATGCATCTGTATTCAACATGTATAGGGAGAGGTATATGCATAAGTCATATGGTTTGTTTGTTGATTCCCTTTCATTTTCATGAAAATATATGCTTATATATATCACATAACACCAATGTTTGTACTTTCGTGCGATTTCTAGTGTGGAATGAAATCTATCAACAGATGGTATAATATACTGCTCGAACTGGGAGTTTGTTAACAGTTCATCTGGATATGATTTGCTCAGTGTGTGACACGGCGGTACACAATGCATATGTATGTTAAAGTGGGCTCAAATTATGAACAATGGTGGCAATTTCAAATTTGTTTTCTTAGTCCCTGTTAAATTGCCACCATTGTTACCTAATCAGTCATGCCTGGTTTAACAATCCCTGGCTTCCACTTGTCCAATTACCTACTGATTTGCCTTGTTTTATCATACTGTTATTGTTTTGACATGCACATACAGTACAACTAGAAATTATTGAGAATTTAAAGATTGTAAATTTCTTTTTTACTCATTACTCACGTATTAAATGTGAATATTAGCAGAACATAACTCCAAATTCAAAGACAGGTGAACAGTTAGTATTTTGTCAAGTCACCATGGGCAGCAATGCAGGCTTCAATGCCGGGGGGCATACTACTGATCAAAGAAGTTAGAAAGTCGTGGTCCATGCTGTCCCAATATCGGACCACCTCTTCTTTCATTTCAGCAATATTTGTCAGAGTTTTCTTATTGACACTTTCCTTCATAAATCCCCAAACATTTTCTATTGGATTTAGGTCAGGGCTATAGCTTGGCCAATCTAATAATGTCATATTTGGGGTCCGAAACCAGGCCTGTGAATGCTTTGAACGATGTTTTGGGTCGTTGTCCTGCTTGAAAAATCCAAACATTTCCATAGAACACGTGAGCAGATGGAAGTAAATGTCCCTCGAGAATATCTGTGTACCGCTCACTGTTCATATTCCCTTCAAATACACACAGAGGGGCGTTGCCCCTAACACAGATATGCCACCCCACACGTTAAATTTCGGACTGTACTTTGGGCGCTGATACAAAGGTTTTTCAGTTTGTTTGGTCCAGAATTTCAGTGTATTAGGAAACAGCCTAACAGAACTTTCATCTGAGAAAATCACATTGTCCCAGTTAAAATGTCTATGCTGTAAGCACCAGTTCAACCTTCGCTCCTTTTGTTCAGGTTTCATGATCGGTGATGGAATTTCTCGACTTTTCTGCCAATGCATTGCATGCAGCTCAGTTCTAATTGTCTCCTTACAGACAGCCACGGTTCCTCTAGCAATCACATCCAGCCTTAAGTTTTCTAAACTCCTTCGTTTGTTTTTAGAAACAAGAATACCAAGCCGCCTCCTGTCACCGACAGTCAACTTTCTGGGCCTACCTGCGCCTCCGTGGTGCTCAGTGCCATATCCATTTGCAATATTTTTCAAAACACGATAAACAGTAGACAAAGGGATGCCTGTTCTACTTGAAATCCCTTTAGCTGATCTGATGACCTTGTTATAATACTCTAAAATCAACTTCCTCTTCTCTAAATCATCCATACTGAGGATCACTGAAAATGTCGTCTGCGAGCAAGTAAACAAAGGGGGATAACTCCTCACAAACTAATGAAAAAAGATTAACGGAGTTGTCTCTCTCGAATGAAACCAAGCACTTGATAGCTGGTCAAGGTTGTTTATACTAGAAATCCGATTAAACATATTCCTAAAATTCTCAATAATTTCTGGTCATACTATATATAGCTGTCTGTCTTTTTCATTCACGTGAAGGAGTAAGAAAATGCACTCCGAAATGCTGTGTCCAGCACAATAAAGAAGTTGACATCCATAAAATTCTTGCTTTTACAACAACAACAAACAAAAAAACCGTTCATATTCCTTCCCATTCACAAGCAAATATTCCTGCTAAAATCTCCCGTTGTGAGAACAAGAGGGTATTGCTACTGGAACCATTTTCTGTTCTAGAGGCACTCCATCTTCAAGGAGCCAAATGTCTCATCCAATTTATTGTCAACGAATAGTCACAGCCACCATCATAGACCCATCATCTATCCATACATTGGAATCTGAACCAATCAAGGCTCATCCTTCAGTCAACACTGCAGTCCCTTCTAGCTCCTCAAAGCTAAACTCTAATCTGTCCTTTGACCTGAGTGATTCAGATCTCACTGAGACCCAAAATCAACAACTTGAGTGCTTCCTCTTGTCTCAAAGATCGGTTTTTGCACACGAATGGTCAGAGCTAGGCAAAACACATCTGTGTCAGTATAAGATTGAGATAGCATCACCATTTTACAACTAATTTCTAAAGGATGCCACATTTAACTGGTCTGGTCTGGTCAGGCACCTAACAAACTGAAAGAATGCCTCACTACACCCCTCGTCTTAACATACCCTGCGTGTTCCCAAAGGTTGCAATATATTCACCATTCTTCCAATAGTTTGTCCATCGATTTTAACCTCCATATGGATAATAATATATCATTTCACGGCAAGAGAAAAGAAAGGTCACAAAACTGACATTTCCTATTACAGACAAGAAATCCCTGCTTTATGCTTACCGTGATTCAAAAGCAGGTGGATGCCACCTTGGTCGTGATGCTACTCGCCAGTCCATATTGACAGGCTTGTACCAAGATGCTGAAACATACACCAAATCGTGTGGTGAATGTCAAAATAAAGAAGCAAACGTTGGTTCCATTCCAAATCAGCTCCACTTGTACCTATGCCTATTGATGACAACTTTTCCAGGCTATATGCCAGGCTATATGACCTCTTTCTCAAACAAAGGATGGGCACATGTATGTTCTTGTAGCTGTGGACTCATTCTTAAGGTTGATTGAAGCATTTCCATTGCACACCCAAGATGCTGTGGATGTAGCAACAAAGATCTTTAATGGTATGGTTCCCCTCGAACTCTTATCACTGACAGAGGTCGCCAGTCCACATCAAAGCTGGCCAGTGCTACTTGTGAAATGTTTAAGGTTATACACCACTTCATATCATTGTACTACCCCCAGACACATGGAATGGTTGAACAGCGTAACAGTACGATCGCGCAAGCTTTATAATCTTACTATAAGCCTGACCAATCCAACTGGGCTGACATTCGTCCGTGTGTCCTCCTGACAACTATTTGGAAACTTCTCAAAACCTTACTCCGATATTCTACATTCTAAGTAGTGTTCCAAATGAATTTGACCATCACAGGTGAATAACCTTTTCCATTAAGGGGCTTTCTAAAATTGAGCTCCTGCTGAGAACAATACTCTATCATACGTGTTTTATTATGTCAGTTCATTGCACAGAATGATATTGTGTTCACCATATGTTACTCCATATTTGCTTCTCAAAGCAGAACAATTGGAATTCCTTATTATGACATATATTGCACTGTGTTTTATGGTGGTATACATGTTTATAAGCAATAATGCCGCATGTTCTCTTTCGTCAATCGTTGATTGATCAAATGTCCATATTCATGTTTGGTTCATCAGGAACAAATGACTGTTCGATAGAATCAGTAGCACATGTAACATCCATGTTTTGCTTTTGCAATCAAAAGCTTCCCACAGCGGAGGGATATTGTCATAGTCTTAAAATCACTATAATTAATCCAAAATAATGGTCATCATATTTCGATAATAAGTTGCGTGTTTGCATCAATATTGTACATGTATTAAACGATCAGCACAATTTTAATATATATTTCTTACGATAAAGTAAGGGACTTGCCGTTCACGTTACGGACCGTCACATATCAGTAACTCTGAATTATGCAGTACCGTCAAGCTGCCTAAGGCTGTAACATGCTGTGCATGGCCGAGCGCATTGTCATTAAAAATGTATAACGTCAGATACATAGTGATGTAAATGATGATTGTAATTGATACACCAGATGTTCGATCATTATAATATTAAGTAACTTAGATATTCCACAGTCCCTGTATATACCGAGTCCAGCAGCATATACTTCACTCTGAGCACTGCGAATAAAGACTCCAAAGGACTCAGCAGCCTTCTCTCGGTTTTTAAGGTAAGACTGTATTATTTGATTAGTTAAGGTATTGAAGATATATCGTATCATATGAACTCCACTTATGTGTACTAATTTTCACAGCTTTAACCATACGTCTATATAGTTCATCATAAAACAAGCAAGGATGATGCAAATAGTACGTTTATATATGTAGATATTAGTATATTAGTTCAATCATACATTAACTGCTGATATGCCAAGTGATAGATAGTCAGTTAATTACATAGTATGAGTACGAGTACAGTGTGGTAAATACCCGCTGCTAACCTCACGTACATACCGGGTCATGTGAATTTCTATGCTACGTCTATTATTTGGGTAAGCGTTTACGGCATTGAAATATTACAGTATATGTAAAATACATGTATATGTAAATACATCAGTAACGCTAGAATGCCGTAAATGGAATCGTTAACAGTTCCTGTGTGACATACGCTAGAATAAGATCCCTGTCTAGTATCAGACACAATTTACTTTGTAATTGTATTACCGTGATTTGTTTGAGTGGCATTCTAGAAGTCGTAGGTATAGAAATGACAAGACTTTAGGGATGATTCAGTTTTTATTTTAACAATGGCGACGTTTCGGTATAGAGTCTTATACCGTTTTCAAGCATATGGGGAATGAATGGGTACACCAGTTTATATACAAGATAAGATAAAGAGGTAACAATAACAAGGGTGGAAACAAAGCATGAAAGAAAGTTACATGATGAGCTACAATAGCATGATGATGAGCTAAGATAACATAAATGAGATGAGTGGGATTACCAAGACAATTAGTGACTGTAAGTTAAACTTAACTTACGGAAGATAAAGTAAATTACTAACAATTAAGTGTAACATTAGCAACATAACAACAGTATTGTTATTTAGGCAAAAGATGTACGATTAAGTTGGGGATTACCAAGACAATTTGTAACTGTCACTAATTGTCTTGGTAATCCCACTCATCTCATTTATGTTATCTTAGCTCATCATCATGCTATTGTAGCTCATCATGTAACTTTCTTTCATGCTTTGTTTCCACCCTTGTTATTGTCATCTCTTTATCTTATCTTGTATATAAACTGGTGTACCCCTTCATTCCCCATATGCTTGAAAACGGTATAAGCATCTATACCGAAACGTCGCCATTGTTAAAATAAAGAAGTGGATCATCCATAAAGTCTTGTCATGTCCATTGTATTGCCGTATTTGTAGTAATGATAAACCAGTCATTTAAAGTCTGCCAACATAATCGTACATCTTTGCCTAAATAACAATACTGTTGATATGTTGGTAATGTTACACTTAATTGTTAGTAATTTACTTTATCTCAAGTGTATAGTTATTGTTTGAAATCTCTCTATACGTGTATACGTAACTTCTCACTCTGCTACGAATAAAGACTCTAAGGGACTCTGCAGCCTTCTTACACAGTATATGTGACACACTTATTCAAACCAGTTTAAAATACAATCTCTTCAATTATCTTAGTGACTATCTCGATTTTGGAAGGTTTCCATGTAAATCGTCATGGCGAAGAATAACTATTAATTGTATAAATAAATCTGAAACTGAACGATGGGTTTCTCAAGTGTGTGTAAGGCACGATATGAATAGATATCGCTTGACCCACAATTTCTTTGGTGTACATAGATTGTATTGTTTGATGTATTTTTACCCACAGTTTAAAGATATATTACAGTTTTGTGTACAAATCAGCTCAAGGGGAAAATTCGCAAAACATTGTGAACTCTGCAAAAGATATTGTAATGATTATGACTGCCATGTAATTCTACACTGTGAACACTATATGTACAACAGAAATAATTTCTTTTCAAAACTTATAGATCTCTTTGATGTGGATGTTTATGTACAAATAGAATTATTATCTGAAGATGAAATGTTATCACTATTTTCTGGGGGTGAACTACTAGTTATTAACGATATTGATGAAATGTCATGGAGATGTATGATTGTCCTCTTCTGTAAATACCTATATTCCTTGCTTCCCTCACTAAACTGTGCATTCTAGACCTTTCATCTTTTCTTTGTACATATATATGACTATATGAAGGTGTTGTGAATATATTGTTGTGATTATGTTGCTGTAAATATTTCATGTACATGTTTATAATGATCTTCGGAATATAATCTGGAGGAAATAAAGAGATTCATTCATTCATTCATTTCATTCATTCATTCATTCATTCATTCATTCATTCATTCATTCATTCATTCATTCATTCATTCATTCATTCATTCATTCTCGGTTTTATGGTTTAAGTTAATTCCCCTACTATCTCGTCGTCATTGTGACGTAGCCCAGGTCAACCTACATCAGTAAACCAAGCTACATCGATACAGCTGACCTTTGTGTATTCACAACAGCCACACCGCGGCGATGGTTATACTGTTATCCTGTGTTTGTGTTGAGAAGCACATGATAACCATGTGTATACTCTTAAAACAGCTTGATACAGACATTCAAAGTTTAGAACCAAAATTGGTACACATGATTTCAGCAACAAAAGACCATAGAATGGGATGGGGACAACACTAGACTTGCAATAAACAATATCTATGGGAACCCCTATGCATGTGAGTGGCATAGGTATTATCTGCTATGGCCAACACTAGACTTGCTATAAACGAAATCTCTGGGAACCCCTATGCATGTGAGTGCAATAGGTATTATCTGCTATGGCCAACACTAGACTTGCTATAAACAATATATCTGGGAACCCCTATGCATGTGAGTGGCATAGGTATTATCTGCTATGGCCAACACTAGACTTGCTATAAACAATATCTCTGGTAACCCCTATGCATGTGAGTGGCATAGGTATTATCTGCTATGGCCAACACTAGACTTGCTATAAACAATATCTCTGGGAACCCTTATGCATGTGAGTGGCATAGGTATTATCTGCTATGGCCAACACTAGACTTGCTATAAACGAAATCTCAGGGAACCCCTATGCATGCGAGTGGCATAGGTATTATCTGCTATGGCCAACATGCGTCCTGATCACAGCTTGACAGTAACGACTCATGGAAGCAATCAAACGTTGCTCAACAGTGCCGTAATATCATCCCATAGATGTTGGATTGAGGGAACATCCGGCGAACGGGCAGGCCAAGGTGATGTCTTGACGTTGTGGCGCCGTTGAAACAAACAACACTTTGTCTGTCGTTGTCGTGCTGGAACAGCCCACAGCTGACGAAATGTCTTGAGTGACGCTGTGTTGCAGAATCACCTGTCGATATCGGAATCCCCTCAGTGCATCTGCCACGTGCAGGAGGGCCGCCCTACCACCATGATGGATTGCTGTTCACATCATTACGCTGCGTAATCATGGCAGACTCACTGCTGTCTTGTGTATACCATAACAGACACACTGTTGTATTGTACGTATCATTATAGACACTGTTGTATTCTGTATAGCAAGACAGACACACAGTGGTATTGTATATATCATGATAGACAAACTGTTGTATTGTATATATCATGATAGACACACTGTTGTATTGTATGTATCATAACAGACACACTGTTGTATTGTATATATCATGATAGACACTGTTGTATTGTGTATAGCAAGACAGACACACAGTTGTATTGTATATATCATGACAGACACACAGTTTTATTGTATATATCATGATAGACAAACTGTTGTCTTGTATATATCATGATAGACAAACTGTTGTATTGTATATATCATGATAGACACACTGTTGTATTGTATATATCATGATAGACAAACTGTTGTATTGTATATATCATGACAGACACACAGTTGTATTGTATATATCATGATAGACACTGTTGTATTGTGTGTAGCAAGACAGACACAATGTTATATTGTGTATATCATGACAGACATACTGTTGTATTGTATATATCGTGACAGACACACTGTTGTATTGTGTATGTCATAACATACACACTGTTGTATTGAGTATGTCTTGACAGGCACACAGTTGTATTGAATATATCATGATAGACACTGTTGTATTGTGTATAGGAAGACAGACACAGTTGTATTGTATTATCATGATAGACACTGTTGTATTGTGTATAGAAAGACAGACACAGTTGTATTGTATATCTCATGATAGACACTGTTGTATTGCGTATAGCAAGACAGACACACAGTTGTACTGTATATATCATGATAGACACAGTTGTATTGTGTATAGCAAGACAGACACACAGTTGTATTGTATATATCATGATAGACACTGTTGTATTGTATATATCATGATAGACTCACTGTTGTATTGTGTATATCATGACAGCCACACTGTTGTATTGCATATATCATGATAGACACTGTTGCATTGTGTATAGCAAGACAGACACACAGTTGTATTGTATATATCATGACAGACACAATGTTGTATTGTGTACAGCAAGACAGACACAGAGTTGTATTGTATATATCATGATAGACACTGTTGTATTGTGTATAGCAAGACAGACACACAGTTGTACTGTATATATCATGATAGACACAGTTGTATTGTGTATAGCAAGACAGACACACAGTTGAATTGTATATATCATGATAGACACTGTTGTATTGTGTATAGCAAGACAGACACACAGTTGTACTGTATATATCATGATAGACACAGTTGTATTGTGTATAGCAAGACAGACACAGTTGTATTGTGTATATCATGATAGACAAACTGTTGTATTGTATATATCATGACAGACACTGTTGTATTGTGTATATCATGATAGACAAACTGTTGTATTGTATATATCATGACAGATACAATGTTGTATTGTGTATAGCATGACAGACACACTGTTGTATTGTGTATATCATGACAGGCACACTGTTGTATTGTGTATGTCATAACATACACTGGTGTATTGAGTATGTCTTGACAGGCACACAGTTGTATTGTGCACATCATGAGAGACACACTGTTGTGTTGTATATATCATGACAGACACACTGTTGTATTGTATATATCATGACAGACACACTGTTG